GACAAAGGTACGGTGCGCACGTTTGCTTGTAAAAGTATCATTCAGGAAAATACCGATGCTGGTCAGCCGGTTTTCGGTTAAATGAACTTTTTTATAAGAAGAATGAAGGACCTACTGTTGTTTAGATGAAAATCGTACTTTGCTTTCGTCACTTTGTCCCTACCTCACTAACCCTGGTTTTAACTACGAAGGTGGGGAAGGCGTTTACTTGACAAATTTGAAGAATGCGGCTGTGGGATATGCTGACCAGATTTCATCTCCTGTTAACAGGTAATTTTTTTCCTTGCAGTGCTATTTTGATGGTAACGTATTACTACAGTCCAAAAGTAGCGTGTGTATTATATGGAAGGAGGAAATTTAAGAGGAAAATAAAGGTTCTCAATTTAAACTGTTCCAGTCTATGCACATCTGACAGCGTTGGTAGTAGTGACGGTAGTAACAGCTGTGAAACTCAACCTAGTAACCTGCCGGCCGAACTTGATCCCGAAAAAGCATCGCTTTTCAGTCCACCATCGACAAGTAAGTTGTGCGACAAGAAAGAGGAGTGGGGAAAATCTAAAATAACCTCGAAAACTGAAGGTAGTGGAATTGAACCTGTTCGGAAGCAGGACGTTTATTCCCCTGTTAACTTTGAATCTGTTCGAAATTCCAAGCGAAGCCACTGTAATGAGGAAAATGATCACAAAGCAGAAGTTTCAAACTCTTTGTTCTTCGCAAAGAATACTGATATTAGTGAAGGTCCTAATGGAAAGAAGAAAAAACCACAACCACTAGATTTGAATGTCAATGAGACCGCACAAATTCCTTCAATACATTTTGGTTTGACAGCAAATCCTTTGCTAGCAACATCACCTATCCTCTCCCCACTTGGATTCTTGGCTGCTTCACTGTCGGCCAATCAGCTGATTGCTTCCAGTCCACAAAGCGCTCTATGGTCCCCATCTGGGCGATGTCCACTGCTAGGAACAATAAATACTTCGCTGACTACTCCAGTCGGGTCGCCTACTGTCAACCCTCATCCATTTTTCCAGTTTCCACCCAGCCCTCAACAGGCAGCTTTGATGGCGCAGCAAATGACGGCAGCAATATCGCCGTTACTACCACTACCGCACAGTCTGCTGATGGACTTGCCTAAGCGGTAGTTGTAGGGCTCTTCTTTTTTGTAGCTTGTATGTTGTCATTATTTTATTATTTCACGACTTTTTCAAACAGTTACAATTCCTGCGCGTGAATTTCGATCCAACTAGGTTGGGTTTTTACACCGGATAATTAGTCAGCGCACTGTAATTTATGTCTATGCACAACAGAAGTAGCTAATAGCATTGCTGAGTTTATCGACGTTTGGAACTTCATGAAGAATTAATGCGCTTTTATTCAAATAACTATTTGTTTATATGTCATTGTTAAGAGCGTATTATTTTGATTATTTTCAGATATTTGTTATTATATCTAGTTGTTCTGCTCAAAGTCGTTGACAGGGCCTATTTTCGAAGGATTTTCTCCTGTATGTTGGTAGTATACTTTTTCTTTTGTGTCGCGGGAAAAGTTCCTCGATAGTGAGTTTTCAGGACTCTCAAGCTTCAAACTTTCGCGGAAGTTTTTGATTTTTAAGTTAAATTATTCACAGCTGAAACAGGTTAATATAGGGCGTCAGGACAGCTATTTTCTATTTGGAATTAATTAAAGCTCAAGGAAAAAGATAAGCGCATTTGACATGGCATCAGGAGCTCTAGTTTCTCCATATATCCATGTCTTGTATGCTGAAAGTATGTTGTAGTTTACGGCGTTTTCAATTTCCGGTGTTCCTTTGGGCATGCATGCGTTTTTCGTATTTGCCAAGGCTTTTCTAAGCAGCAGGAATTTGTATCTGGGACGGAGGTTGGTATGGTTCAGATAGGTTTGTGTATGTTAGTCTCTTGTAGAGGCAATTGCTGACTTGGATGCTGACTGTGTATCATGGGTGCTATCGAATGTGATATTGTTCAGATTTTGGTTTTGTCTGTAGGGAGAGAATTGGTTGAGTAGTCTGGTTGTAACTGTTGTTACTGCGGCTCGGAGTTTGAATAAAGAGATTTTTGGTAAAACGAGGCCGGAAAAACCTAATTGAAAAGAAGTTCACTTAAAGGTACTACAGTTGACAAATGAGTGTCGTGAAACATAAAAGAGGATGGAAGAAGGCGTTTTTGATGTTATGAAATCGGTATGGAAGTAAAGCAAGCTGCAACGTGAATACGATGTTTGAATTCTTGTACTATCGCCGTACGCTATGTGTTGCAGTTTTGAAAGGAACAACAGAAACCTTGTGCGTATACCTGCAGAAGGAAGTTGTACTCATTCGTAATCGTTGAGGTGAGATTAACGTAATTGTTTTCTGAAGTTTATTGCACAAAGCTTGCTCCTGAGGTTTACTTTTTTACCGCGGTTTTCTACGATAGGTTTCTGTAAGCAACTTTTGGAGATTGTTTATGTCATTGTGAGTGTAATTCGAAGGATGGGCCTCTTTTGGCTTTATTTTCATTTTTATTGGTTTCAATTTTTCAAATATAAAAACGACATTAAATTGGAAAGAAATTACCCACTTTTTTGAACACCATTATTTTAAAAGTTGCATATAAAGGGGTTATTAAAAAGTTTCTAATAGTACAGTTGTAGGTTCGACAAAGATTGCTTTTATAGAGCTTAAGATTTACGGCTTGCCTGTAAAGTGTAGGTTTTATAAGCAAGACAACTTCGGCGGAAAGGCATGATAATTATATGGTCATGATTCTTGCGAAGACTCCATCGGAAATAGCTTAAAATACGGGCATCGTACAGCTCAAAACTGTCTTGCAATAAAAAAAGTGCAATTCGGTCCTAGTTGCACAATTGTTAACACCAGTTTCAAAGCGCTTTAAAGGTGAAATCAGCTATTAATGGAGTTTTGCAATAGACGTCAGCTTGAACTATTGCGTAAAAACTTAATTGACGGAAATGCTGGGAAAACGGCCTTCACTGCTTGACTGCAAATTGAGGAACTGTTCATTTGAAGACACCCCGCTATTTTGTGGAAGATAATAATTTTTGAATTATTTTTGGATTGTTTGTTGAGTATAGCAATGAAATTGGCTTTTTTGCGATAAATCAAAAAGTGGAAGTGCAGTGGCATATTTACGAAATTGATCCTTCCTGGTTCTACTTTAAGTTATAACATAAATCTGTCAAGGTTTTCGCGTTACTGCAAGTGAGCGCTTTATAATGGTAGCACAACGGTTGGCTGAACGGCAGAATCTCAGTATCGTGTTGTTTCAATTCATGTAGGATAGTAAGGAAATTTCGGACAGCAATGATTTTCTGTAATGGCAGCATTTTTACAAGACAGTTGCTAGCCTTAAACTACAGAGAAGTTTGAGAGCTTAGGCATTAATGTACTGTTCAATCTACTACGTTTTCTGTATCATTTGTTTCTTAATTGCTATCTTTCTTTCGCACTTTCATGGAAATGTAGTTAATATGATACCTACAGCCAGGTTAAAAATTTTTTGCTATGAAGCAGATTCTTATAGACAAATGTTCCTTCGAGAATGAATAAAGTCTTTGCTGTAGCATGCCAACAATTTTAATTCTAGTCTGCAAATAGTTGTTTCTGTATTGAGTTGTATTGCTCTATTGTTCTAAATCATCTGCTAGAAAGCAAATTTAATTTTTTCACAAACTAAAATGTTTTCTTTTGAGTGGAATCTGTGAGGGAGCTATAATACTTTATTGTGTCAAATAAAGTAAGATTAACTTTTAGTTGTTTTGTAATTGTTTAAAATGTGTGTTTCCTAGTGGAAATGATTTTACGGGATTCTGGTGAACATCTAGATTTTTTTTGTATTTTTATTAGATTCTAGACAAGTATGTGACAAATAAAATTTAACTGGTGCGTGCATTTGTGTAAGAGATTAGTAAGTGTTGCTGGATTTTAATGTAATTTATGGATGGTTTTGATGAGTGGGTGTTGGTTTCATCTGCTATCAGTAGTAACAATAAAACTTTTGAGAACGAGCGTCTTGGGATTGTTCTTTTTCTCTGTAGATCAATATTTCGGAAAACTGTAGGCGTTCTTTCAGTACATATGGAATTTTTTTTCGAGAGGAGGAAGGGGGGGGGAGAAAGAGGGAGGAGATAGGGAGTTTGGACGTAATAGTTTCATTTCTTGGGGTTCTAAAAAGGTATGTACCTAGATTGCGGAATTAATTTTAGGTGAAGTAAGTCGTTGCATAGTTGTTTAACATGGAAACGAGTGCAGCTTAAAGATTGGTCAGTGGAACTTGGTGATGATAATGAACATTGCTGGTAACCAGTGTTCAAAACATCATTTTCAGCTGGAATAAATTTAAGGTGTCTTAGAATCGCTGGACTATTTTCACTGTGTTGATCTAATTGTGCTGTTCTATTGGTATCTGGAGATGCATTGGGCAAAATATTTTTACCTCAACAAATACGATAGTAGTGGCTATTAGATAAGGAGATTATAAGAAAATATAAAAAAAATAATTGCAAGGTAAGGAAATATGTTATCTAAAGACAATTATAAATCTTATGTGATTTAAGTAAAGAAAACGAACTGGAAGTGCGTCAAATGAGCTGAAATATAAACTTTGTCAATTATAGGTGTTCATAGTTTTTATGCTGCTCATTTCTATGGCCTACCTTCTTGCATCTGGTCTTTGATCTCGGAAAAGCTGGTACGGGTATTTGAGGTGGAAGAACGGTGAAATTTACTCGAGTTTTTGAAAGGCATAAGTGGTTGCCATAAGCATTTAAACAACGTTATTGTTTGATGGTGCCCTAAAGACAGATTTTTTAAGCAAACAACAACAACAACGAAAGAAAGAGAAAAGCTTATACATAAAGTTAAGTGTTCAGTTGATTTCTCAAAAATTTTTTCTTTAAAATAAAGCTTAGCATATTGTTAGAATAATTTTATGACCATTATCGCTGTTTGTTGTTGCCGTGGTTTTGTCGTTATTTTGGTTTATTTGCGACAACAGTGATCTTTGGTTATGGTTAACTAACGTCAAGTGAAACATCGATGTTTATATTCAGATCGCAATTTGAGCTGCTCAAACTATAGAAGGTTTTCTTTTTTTTTTTTTTTTTTTTTGGTTTGGCTCG